TTCTTGCTGCTTGGAGAAGAGCAGTCCTTGGTGGTGAGGGCCGGGTAATCCCATTGTATACAGTCCAATCCAAGAGCGATCATGTGTCATTTGCTGTATGGACTATGGAGGAGCGTGAGAGGCGAGACACAGCCCATGCCTCCATTAGTTTTCTCACCTGTAGGTTGGGGGAGAAGCTTACAGGCCTAGTGAAATGTTCACAATGAAGGAAAGGGGGGATTAATGCTAGGAGGGGGGATTTGGGGGGAAGGATTTGTGCTAGGGTGGGAATTTTATGGGGTAAAAAGGATATGTTAGGAGCAGTGATTTATTTTTGGGGTGGAAGAGATTTGAGGTAGGAGGAGGGGGACTGCAAAATTTGAGCTGGCAGGAGGGATTGGGGGGAAAAATGTTGTGCTGGGAGGGATATTTGAACTGGAAGGAGGGGGAATTTTCGCATTTATGTTTCAGGAGAATTTTGGCTTACAGACTAAGGGGGTGAGCATTCTGATTACAGTGCTCTTTTTAAGGTTTTTTTTAGGTGGGGGGGGGGGATGGGGGAACTTATGCTGAGATATGCTGCTCATATAATGTGTGGGGGGGGTGCAGTTTGTCATCTTCACCCTAGATACCAGATGACCTTGTCCCAGCACTGCACACAGGGTGCTCAAAAAGATTGCCTGTCCTCTTCTCTACTTACCCCTGTACACTGCCCTACTAACCCCTGTCCCCTATCCCACTGAACCATTGCACACTGCTCTGCTGCCCTCTGCCCTGCTAAGCACTGTACACTGCCCTACAAACGAATGCCCTCTGTACTCTGCCCTACAAATTGTTGACCTTATCCTCTGCTCTGCTGACCTCCTGTACACTGCCCTACTGACCTTGCATCCTCTGCCCCCTAACGTTTTTTTACTGCACCCCCACATCAGACAGGCTAGATCCAGCCCTGATGTGGGCTGTAATTGGACACAGCTGATCAGCGGGTTGCAGCCATGAATCATTGGCTGAGACCTGCTGACAAACTCTCTCTGCGTACAATCACAACAGGAGTCAGGGGGCAGGGTCGCACATGGCGCTCTGTATCCTAAAGAGTACGGGTCGCCCATCTACAGGTGGGCAGGCAGCCCTTAAGTGATTAATGTGGTATGAAACTCAAAAGCCAAAATTGAATATTTTTAATTTACCAATTCTTAGAAGTGGTGGCTGCACTTTTACCTAGTGATCCTGCCAATAAGTCTGGCCATACATGAGTCATTTTCTTTTTTATTCAACCAGCAGGTTTAAACAAAAGAAAATGACTCGATTTCCCCCATCCACACATTTGATGTGAATGGGGGAATCCCTCCCACTGAGTCTTTGTATTTTGACAGCAGGGACACTTCCCTGCCCTCAGAATACACTGATCTGCACCACCAGGTATAGCTGATCAAGAGAAATGTTTCATTTGGCTGGTTGTAGACAAGTCGAGCGATAGAGCAAGTTGTGTACTAACAGCCTGGCTATATTTGAATCGAAATGCATCTGGTCCCTGCTAAACTAACCAAATTTCAATCCATGTGTGGCCAGTTGTCTGACAAAAGTGGTAATTTGAGAGTTGAGACAAACTATTTAACACTGACAGAGGTGTTTACAATGGTCAGCTTTTATTCATTTATGTAAAACCTTTATCTCAAAAAGAAACATTGTGACATTTCCCTGTTTTTTCAGCTCTTAGACACTAGGGGGCATTCCCCTTTCTTTCCTACATCTTCTGCTTAGGATGAGAAAAAGGCCATTTGCCTGCTAGAAAATGTGATCTTTAACACTGGTTCAAGGTAATACTGAGTTAATTAGCATTACTATTATTGGGATGGCCTTATGCAAGTCAATATTTGAAATTCATATACATATATACTTTTGTACTCTTTGTTTTGAGTCCTAGTATACATTTTTCTTTTCTTCTTTACTGGTTGGTCTAGACCCTTGAGGCTCTGGACTATCGGCCATTGTTGCGCCCCCATATCTGGCCTTCTGGATGGTCCCTTGCCTTGTGGGAACACAGAGGAGGCTTACCTCTTATGTCTGGAGGGTTCTGCATGGTGCATATTAACATTATATGTAAGTCATAATATATTATTGTATGATCCCCTTTTTTGTGTTTACATGTTGTAATTTGATATATAATTTTTTTTTTTTTTATTTTACTACTAAGCCCCTGAAGAAGCAATCATTGTCACAAAAAATGTTGGGCCATTCTTCCTGCGGCTTAATGTCTCTCATCCTCCCATAAGTTCTTTCTGGTGGTTATTGTATGCTTCATCACTAATTTGTTCCATGTAATATGGTGGGTTGCGGGACATTGTCTGCGGGGACATCATATAATGATTTGTTTTAAACTGAAATATGTTTTTTCATGACTCATTGTCATAATAAAGTACAAATGATTTTACTAATGTGTTTGGAGTTTCTGTGCCTTTAAAGTCCATTTGCACCCTTGTTTCCCCCCTTTTTCTTTCCCTCTATTTTTGACCTGTTGGTACTTTGTCTTCTGGCATTCATCAGGGTATGGATGACTTCAAAAGGACAGCCTTAGGCCTCCAACCTCCCTGCCTCAAGAACCAGACCATTAGATGAAGCTGGGCTGGGCAAGGGTGAAGAATGGCTCCCTGAGACAGCAGGTCTGGCTTGAGTGGGAGAAGAAATGGATTCTGACAGCTGAGCTACGCCAGTAAGGGAAACCATGGTCTGTTCGGCCAGTATGGAATTACAGCCACTACCTCCACAGCTTCTGGTCTGAGCCTCCGAAGAAACCTGAAGATGACAGGGACCAGGGAAAATGTATAGGCCGTTCGAAACCTCCACTGATCCATCAGAGCATCTACCCCAAAGGCCTGAGGACAGCAATTCCTGGTGCAGAACATCCCCAGTTTGCTGTTGCACAGGGAGGCAAACAGGCCAACTTCCAGACTGATCCCAAGGGTCAGTATTCACTTGAAAACTTCTGTGTTGAGAAACCACTCGTTGTTGTCCAATTGAACCCTGGATAGGAAGTCTGCTTGAGAGTTCTGGACTCCGGGGACGTATACTGCCAAAATGTTGGACAGGTTTCTCTGAGCCCAAGCCACGATTGGCTCTACCTCTTGCAAGAGGGACAGGTTGTGGGTCCCACCTTGTCTCCTTATGTAGGACATTGAAGTTGTATTGTTGGACCTCAGGAGGACTAATTTTTCCCCTGTGTTAGGTGCTTGGAGGCCTGTAGGGCACAGAGCACAGCTCAAAATTCCAGGACGTCTGACCCCAACCTGTGGGAGGGAAAGCTCCATCTGTCCTGGGCTATCTCTGACTGGCAGAGAGCACCCCATCCAGAGCTGCTTTCATCCGTAATGATTGTGACCCAGGAGATGGGGGCAATCAAATGGCAATTTGTGCAGGTTCTTCTGCTGCAGCCAACAAGGAAGGCTCTCCTTCATGGACGAAGATAGGTAAATTACCTGGCCCATGCTGAGCCTTGACTTTTCGGCTGAGCCCTCTTCTGGCCTAGCAGACACCGATCCTGGGGCAGGAAACCAGACCTCCCGCCTGTTGCTATAGAGTTGTCCAGTTTGTTCCCAAACAGGGAGGAACCCTCAAAGGGGATCTTGCACCATGCCTGCTTAGAGGCTGGATCAGCCAATAAGGGCTGAAGCCACAACACATGCTTGGCTGTAACCGAGGACAGATTAACCCGAGCCAGCTGATTGGTAAGGTTGATTGAGGCCTCCCCCAGAAAGGCAGATGCCAACCTCCGCTCCCAAATACCTGAATTCTTGGCCACCTTTTCTGGAACTCCTCTGAGGGTCACATCCACATTATCCGACCACACTTCCATAGCTTTAGACAAGGCCGCCAAGGCAAGCGCCTTTCCAGGTTGTCCTTGAAGGACACCAAATCCTCGAGAGGGAGGGTAACATGCTTGGCTAGTCTCATCAAGGCTGCATCCACTAGAGGGGCCAATTCTAAATGTTTGACGTCCTCTGATTTGAATGGATAAAGCTTAGCTGCTTTTATTCAGCAAGGAGGCCTTCTTATCGACATTGCTCCACTCCTCGGCGAAAATTTCCCTGAGTTCCTCCAGGAATGGAAAGTTTGGATGATCCTTCTTTAGATGAAGAATTTCTTGTGTTTAGGGCCTCTTTGACTGCTTTGACTAAGGCCCAGACCAAAGCAAAATCAAAGCCCACACATGAATACTCTCCACCTCATTATCTGAGGCTCCACTGACAGGTGGCTAGGTTGTGAAGGCTCCAATCACTCTTGGGGATCTTTGGGAGGGGAGCAGACCCCGACCCATGGGCTGCGGGCACGAATAGTCCCAATTTCTTTCAGGGACTCTTGAACGACCCGTCTGACCAAAGCCTCTACCTGATGGTTGGCACTTTCTCTCTCACCGGTTGCCTGTGCAAAACAGGAGTCACATAATGGCCTGTTATCAGTAACTTGAGAATTGCACCCTCAGCAAGTTTTCCTATTGGAGCGTCCAGAGTACCCCTTAATGCGATGCCTGGAGGAGGAACAAGAGCTTCTCCTATGATGCCTGGAACTGGAAGGAGACCTGTGGTGTCCGGATTTAAAGGATGAGTGATGGCGCCGAGACCTAGACGTATTTCCATCATCATGTGCTGTATAGTGGCGATCAGACCTAGAAGGGTTGAGAGAGAGGAAAAAAGACACAGAACAGTTGATAGCTAAAAGTCACAGAACAGCACCAGGGATCAATGGGCTAAAGCCATCTATCTGTGCCTACTGTGCAGGGGCTGGCCACAAGGAGGCAATGACACATCCATACTGTCAAGGTCCTACCTTTCTTCAGAGCTTGTGCATCTCCATGAGCTGGCATCCATCTTGGTTTTCTGCAAAGCATGGTGGGAACCTTTATGCCTTCAGGCTTCTGCGGCTCCTCCTCAGAAGGGTGTGGTTGAGCACATTTAAACCTGCTGTCTGCAAGTGTGCTCTGCACTTGTGTCCTGTATGTTGCCCTGTTGCAAGCTCTTGAGTTGTTCCCATTGCTCTCCTGGTAACCGACTCGGCTTTGACAAGACTATTCTCTGTGTTAACCCTTTACCTGACCTCCCGTTGCTGAACCCGGCCCGTGACCTGAGTATTCTTTGCCTACCATCTAGTACTGTCTGCTCCGTTGTTATTGACCCGGCTTTTCTGACTACTCTACTCGTGTTCCCATCTAGCTCCCACCAGCTGTACGCCATTGGCGGCAGTCGTTATCGCAGCTGGGGTCACTCGGGGGGGCCGCGACCTGGTCTCAGGCTGCATCAAGTCCATCCCCACCATCAGGGGCCCTGGTGAAGGGTAGCCTGGGGCTTAGACTCCGCGCCCTGAGGGACTCCGGTCTGTGGGTAGTGGCTATCGTCAGTCGCAGCGTGACCGTACCATAGGCCTGCCTGCCCGTTCCAGCGTTCCTGCCCTGACACATACTGGGTCAGCTGCGATGGTACCAAGCTCTAAAAAAAAAAAAACATGACGTGCAGAATCCCAGCAGACCACGGGGGGGGGGGGCAGGAAGGAGCAGGTACTGACCTTCACAGTGGACTACAGTGCATGGGGAAGCTGCTGCATTCAGCCCACAGGATTTCCCAAAGAAAACAGCTTTGACAGCTGTTTAAATTTGCCGCCAAAGTTATGGGGTCACTGCCACCGTACTGTGCATGTGCCGGACCCTGGGATGCCTGCACACATGTGCGAGCACCGCTATCTTGCTGTACTGCGCACATGCAAAACCAAGCCTCGTTCTGAGGCCGACTCCTGCAATGCTCAGTACGCTGGAGACCTGGAAGCAGCAGCCTGGAGCGCAGCAATTCACTCCAGGCACCCACTAGCACCAGGGAAAGATTAAAGAAAGAATAACAGGGAAAAATGAGACCTGAGCATCAAGGTCCTACCTTTCCTCAGACCTTGTGCTGCTCCATGTGCTGGCATCCATCTTAGGGGTCTGCAAAGCATTGTGGGATCCTTTATGCTTTCAGCCCTCTGCGGCTCCTCCCCCAGGAGGTGGCAGCTTATCACATATAAGTCTGCTGTTTGTGGCTGTCCATTGCGTTCGTGTCCTGTCTGTTGCACAACAGCAAGCTCCTGTTTAGCTACTCATTCCTTTCCTGGATACCGACTCGGCTTTGGCTAAGACTCCTCCTGGCTTCTGATCCCGGCTCTGGTGACCATTCTTCCTGGCTCCTGATCCCGGCTCTTGTGACGATTCTTCCTGGCTCCCTGATCCCGGCTCTGGCGACGATTCTTTCTGGCTCCTGATCCCGGCTCTGGCGACAATTCTTCCTGGCTCTTGACCCCGGCTTTGGCTACGATTTCCGCTGTTGGACTTGCATAGACTCTTGTCTTATTTTTATATTAATAAACCTACCTTTAATTGCACCTCCTTGTGTGTGTCTGGCTCCTCGCTCCCTGACGCTACACGAATGCCATGAATCCTGACGGTGCAGGTACGCCCCCGCTCCCTATGTTGGTTGCCAGACTTGATCAGCAGGATCTCTTGTTGGCTCAGTTCGCTCAGGCGTTGCAGACGCTGCTTGCACGCACAGCGCACCTTGCTCCTGGTGCTATTAGGCCGGTTGTCACTCCTGTGGTCGCTCCCGTTGTTGCTCCGGTTGTTGCGCCTACCTCCGCATCTGCTGCCACACCTGCGGTGCCCAGAGGTATGACTGGTTCAGCCCCCCTTCCACAACGATTTGGGGGAGAACCGAGTCAGTGTTGGGGTTTCCTTAACCAAGTGGGCATATATTTTGAATTGATACCCCACGCTTTTCCTACTGAGAGGTCAAAGGTAGGCTTCCTAATCTCGCTGCTCTCGGACAAGGCCTTGGCCTGGGCAAATCCCTTATAGGAGAACAATAACACGAGTTTGACAGTTTTGTTGCCTCCTTCCGTACGGTATTTGATGTGCCTGCTGCTAAGCTGCTCATGTCCATGCATCAGGGTTCATGAACCGTTGCCGAGTACGCCATAAAATTTCGTAGCCTGGCGGCAGAGGTGGGTTGGAACAATGAGGCTCTGGTGGCTGCTTTCTCTCATGGTCTCTCAGATGCATTGAAGGATGAGATTGCAGCCAAAGAACTGCCTGTGGAGCTCGAAGCACTCATTTCCTTTCTAATCCTGATTGACACCAGGCTCAGGGAGAGGCCTTCACTTAAGGAGCGTCTGCGGAGGCCTCCTAACCGTGAAAAAGAAGGGCGGTGAATTGAGGCCTTGCATTGATTTTAGGGGTCTCAATCGAATCACGATTAAGAATGCTTACCCAATTCCATTGATAACCGAGTTGTTCGACTGCCTCAAGGGAGCAACGGTCTTTACTAAACTTGACCTTAGGACTGCGTACAACCTCGTACGGATCAAGGTGGGCGACGAGTGGAAGACCGCGTTCAACACCCAGAACTGGCCACTATGAATCCCTAGTTATGCCCTTTGGGTTGTGTAACGCACCCGCGGTCTTTCAGGAGTTCATTAATGATGTCTTTCGTGACTTGTTGCAGCAGTGCGTGGTCGTTTACTTGGACGACATCCTGGTTTACTCTGCGTCCATGGAGTCTGTCGGGGATCGCCGCGGCGCTGGGCTCGGCGCAGGCGCAGTGCACCGCCCTGTGCAGGGACGCAGGCGCTGGGACCTGGCCGACCGCGGCAGTCGAGTTCGCGCATGCGCAGTAGAGACGCGGGGCGCGTGCCTGGCACCAATGACAGCGCAGGGCGGGATATTTAAATGGCCCTGAGCTGTCATTCAGTGCCTTCTGGTCTCCTTGTATCCTGTGAACCTGTTTCTAGTAAGTTGCTGACCCGGATTGTGCCCTGACCTTGCTGCTTTCTCCGGTTTTGACCCTTGCTTGCCTGACCTCTCTCCTGAATGCCCCCTATTGGATCTGACCTGCTGTTGCTGACCTGGCGTGTGACCCGACTATTCTTTGCCCGCTGCTCTGTACCGCACCGTCCCCATAGCTACCGGCCCGGTCTGTCTGACCTTGCACTTGCTCAGCCATCCATCCATCCCTCTCAACGGGGTCTCCAGACCTCCTCATACCTGGCTCTCTCCCGTGGGAGCCCCTGGCGAATACCCCTACCACTGACGGGTGTCCTCAGTAGTCACGACCTGGTCCCGGGGTACTCCAAGTCCATCCCCACCATCAGGGGCTCTGGTGAACAAGTACTCTGGGGCTTAGACTCCGTACGCTGGGGATGACCGATCAGTGGAGTGCTAGTGGTACCGCTGGGCGGTCCCTTACAGTACCAGAAGGCCATGACTGAGCCTAGAGGAGGGCCCTCCCCGCTAGAGGAAATTTGCAGGCACCTAGCTAATTTGACGCAGGCCGTAACGGCCCTGCAGGACAGATGTATGCAGCTGGAAAATCACTTCCAGACTTGCTCTATATCTGACCCTGCTCCACAGGCCCCGGTTTCTGCACCCCCGGCCATGGTAGCTCAGGAGCCAGCCTCAGGGGCTTCCGCCCCGCTCCCTATGGCGGAACCCCGAGTACCCTTACCGGAGCGTTTCCACGGGGACCGCACACGCTTCCGGTCATTCCGTGATTCCTGTCTCCTGTTCTTTGAGCTACAGCCCCGTACCTTTCTGACCGAAAATGTGAAAGTGGGATTCGTCATTTCACTATTGCAGGGTGAACCCCAGGATTGGGCCCACCGGTTAAGGGGAAACAATGATCCTCATCTGGGATCGGTCAGTAGTTTTTTTGAAGCGATGGCCATCTTGTATGATGACCCACAGCGGGCAGCCTCTGCCGAAGCGACCTTATATACGCTCCGACAGGGCCCGCGGGTGGCAGAGGAATATGCCTCTGATTTCAGGCGGTGGATGGGGGACACACGCTGGAACGAGTTTGCTCTGCTGCACCAGTTCCGTATGGGGCGGTCCGATCCCTTGAAAGATGAGCTGGCCCGGGTGGAGGTCCCCGAATCTCTAGAAGACCTTATTTCCCTGACAATTAAAATTGACCGAAGACTGCGGGAACGCAGGCTTGAGAGGTCCGGACAGGGTCGCGGAAATACCTGGGGTCCATTCCAAGGCCCCAGCCAACCAACTCGACCAAGCATCCAGAATCTACCACCAGGAGATGTTCCAGAACCTATGCAGCTAGGCCTGGCGCGGCCTAAATTACCACCGGAGGAACGCCAGCGCAGACGAGCCCAGAACCTCTGCCTTTACTGCGGTGAAGCTGGTCATATGGTGCGATCCTGCCCTCAGAAAATGAGTAAGTGCACCTCTTCTTCTTCTTTGTCTATTAGCAATACCTGTCCTTCTCAATACTTAGTGGTGCCCCTCTCCTTTCAGGTTCCAGAAAGGACCGTGGAGGTGACAGCCATAGTTGATTCGGGGGCATGCAGCTGTTTCCTGGATCTAGATTTTGCTCACCAGCAGGGTATTCCCCTCCAACACAGAAAGAAGGGCTTCAACATATTTTTGGCCAATGGTTCCCAGATAAAATCGGGGGTAGTTAATCAGGAAACTCCCCCCATCGCCACTACCATTGCCAACCAACACCAGGAATTCCTCCGCTTGGATGCTATTGCGTCACCTCTTTTTCCAGTCATTTTGGGGCTCCCATGGTTACGGGCCCATAACCCCCAAATTGACTGGGAAACCGGGTCAATCTCGTTCCCTTCCCCATACTGTCGGGAACATTGTCACACTTCGGGCCCCGCGGGGCCCCGGGTTCTCCTATGCTCCAAAGGAGACTCTGATTTGAAACAGGTTATTCCCGCAGCCTATCATGGGTTCCTGGATGTATTCAGTAAACGGGGAGCCGATACTCTGCCCCCCCACCGCCTGTATGACTGTCCAATCGACCTGTTACCGGGCTCTGAGATTCCTTTTGGGCGAATTTTCCCCCTATCTGAGCTTGAATTGGGGGCCCTAAAAGAATATATTGAGGACAGCCTCCAGAAGGGATTCATCCGCCCCTCCACTTCTCCAGCAGGAGCGGGAATCTTCTTCGTGGAAAAAAAGGACAAAACCCTGAGACCATGTATTGACTACCGGGAGCTGAACAGGGTCACGATCAAAAATCGTTACCCGTTGCCATTGGTACCAGAATTGTTTCAGAGCCTAAAGGCTGCAGTTATATTCACAAAACTTGATTTAAGGGGGGCCTATAACCTGGTACGCATAAGAAGGGGGGATGAGTGGAAAACGGCATTCCGTACCCGGTTTGGCCATTTTGAATACTTGGTCATGCCATTTGGGCTGTGCAATGCACCAGCCACCTTCCAACATTTCGTGAATGACATCTTCAGGGATTTTTTGGATATCTTTTTTATCGTCTATCTGGATGACATACTGATTTTCTCACCCTCCCTGGAGGATCATAGGATGCATGTGGCAAAGGTGTTGGGGCGGT